TGACTATATTTCTAATTTTTATGTAAATAATGTTTCCAGGTTAAACCAATTTCAGCATCAGATGAGAGAACTTTGGATTCTGCTATTGCCATGGTGAATGAAATTGCTGCCCGTTCAATGGAAGGTCATGGAGATGATTCTCCAAAGACTCCAGCATCTCCAAACAAGCGCAAGTTTTCCTTCCGTTTTCCACCATCTCACACCATAACATCACATACTCGCCATGCCAGTCTTTCAAGAAGTTCTCATGATGAACGTAGAAATTTCACTGAAGAAGCTGCATCTATTCCAGACATGCAGGTACTTTATGCTGTTCAGTTGATACTGTTTCTAAGAATTTTGTCTCTCACTGTCATCAACCATCGTCATAAGTCTAACCATATCACTTTCTCTTAACCCTTCCCCTGCCCTTCATTTTTGATTTGTTTTTTTCATTTCTACTTTTTTCCTAAGACTGGTTTGTGTAGAAGCTTACTATCCCTCCCACGCACTCCTCCCCCTTCTTTGGATGCAAGTGTGGAATCATTGATGATGGGAAGTCCCATTCCATTACGTTTGCCTCTTTGGGATCGAGCATCAGCTGAATTCTATTTTGCTCGGTCACGGGACCTGTTAACAAAGTGCCCTCCTTACATGAAAGGTCATGGTCATGGTTTCTCTCGAGGCCGCTTCTATAGTGAACGTCAGAATGAACGAGGTCATTTGATAAGAGCAGGCTCTGTTGGCAGTGATGTCAGGTCCAAAAATTTGAGTAAGAACGTTTCTGATGGGAAAATATCAGAACATTGCGACCGCATGTCTCTGGGTTCTAGCCCACCCTTGGGTACTGGCTCCTTAACTGAGTTAATTCATAAGTATGGCTCCCCTCCTAAAGAAAATGGAAATGGTAAAGTTGGCAAGAGCCTCACTGAGCTGATGCAGAAATATGGTTCGCCTCCCAAAGACAAATCCTCCAACAATGGAGTGCATGCTCGCTTCTCGGTGGGTAGCCCCATCAAATCCTTTGCTGCTATGTATAAAGGACAGCGGGACAATGGCCAAAATCTTGCAAATGGCCACAATAAATCCTCAACACACAGTCTACCAAAGCACAGAATGTCTGCATCTGTTCCGAAGATTCACCTCAGTCTGGCTGCGTCGGAAGATAGTACCGACTCTATGACATCTTCTGAAGACGAGGGAATTACTCGTCGAACGAGACGGTCCAAATTCCGCCGGGCTCGTCCTGCAGCTCCAACCGCAGCCGGTAGCTCGGACTCGAGCCCTGATCTTGCCTCGTTGCGCGGAGTAGTTGCGGATGTAGTAGCTGGTCTTTGGGGAGGAAGATCGCCTCCACCTGCCTCATCGTTCCTTCATTCATTGTCTCCTCCGTACTCAGGCAATCGTGGCATGTCAGAAACGTCTTCTGACTCGGAGAATCTCGACCTATCAGAGTACCCCGAATTCGCCCGCGATTTTCTTACCTTCCCTCCTAGTCCGGCGCCAAGCCCAACGGCTTAAATTTGTATATTTTACTCTTTTTTTAAAATGAATTTGGGTATTGCGCTTTAGACAGAGTTATTTGGTTATTTGCATGTATGTAATCATAGGATAAGTCTGATTCATTGTAACTAATTTGTTTTTACTGAGACTGAATGGAGACTTGCTATTGCATGAATTATGAACTCCAATATTGCTCAAAGGTGATTCATATCACAACAAAGTAGTATGGTTGTATCAGAACAGCAAATTGTTTTTTCTTTGCTGTGTTAATTTTTGCTACATATCACTTAAAATTTTATATGGATTAAGGCTTCCAATTTTAAAAAAATTATCTGTTCTTAAACTTGAACAGAATGCTGTCTATTAATTTTCCATCTTCCTTCTCACAATTTTCCAGTCCTCTTGCCCAACTATTCATACTAATTTTGATAAATCTATTTTCTTTATTGTTCTTTTAAAAATTTTTGTTGTTTGTTTGTTGTTTTTATTTTTTCTTTACTTTAGTTTGCTTTAATTTTATTTTTATTTTTTATTTTTTTCCCTTGCCCTGTCCCCATTAAAATATTCCAGTCCACACTCAGTGCTGAGGCCAAAGCAGTCTACAGCAGTCTTGTTGAAAATTCAGCAGATGTGTCAAGTTCATCTGCAGCTTCTGAAAGTAATCCTCTTCGAATGTTACGCTCTACTCCTGTTGTACGCCCAAGAGTTCGGGGTAACAAGCACCAGGTATTAAATGCTTCCCAAAATGCAGCATTGCTCGGGTTCTTTCTCTAATTCATCTTAATTCTAATCTAATTCTTCCTAATTCTTTCTCTAATTCACTTTATTCTTCTTATTTTTTTTTATCAAAGAGCAATGAAGGATCAACAAGCGAACCATCTGGATCTAATTGTACTCTGCCAAGGTGTAGAGTTCCTCCTCCTACTCTTCAATCAGCTGGCAGGTAAAAAGTTGATTAGAAATGTTTTATCTTTTTTATTACAATTTAATCGTCCTCTCATCATCATCTCATTTTTACCTTCTTTTTTTTCAGCGGTAGTGTATTTGAGGATACAGATGTTGAAATAGATCAGCATGAGCATGCAGAACTTCGAGGTAAAAATTCTCAACATCATTATGACTACCCTATCTTCATGACGTTATTAATTGTCACAATCTACTACTTTCTTATTTTTCTTTAATGTTTTGATTCTAATTAACAGATGATAACCCAATTCCACTTCCTCCTCGGGATAGAACAAGGCCTCGTACAAATACTAAGGCTCGGCACCAAAGAAAGCATCCTCTTATAATTCCAGCTAGTGGAATGTCTAGGACTCTGGCCATGGCTTCAAGAGAAACTCTTACACTTGGGTCTGAGCTTGCTGACGAAAGCAATACAGGGTAATTTAATTTGAAATGAGATCTTTAAGTTCAGTTTTCTAAACATGTTAGAAAGTTTTTAACCATGTTTGTCTTTTCTGTAGGTCTCATGATGATAGCTATGATCAACGACTAGCATGCGAGATTGACAGGTTGGATGACCTGGATATTGATGCGACTGATGGAGGGCATGAAGAAGACACACTGGTTACTCTAGAAAATGGAATTGCTACCTTGACAAGTGGTGATCCTGTGTTTCGCTTGTCAGATCATGTATCTTGTGAAGATTTATTGGAATTTGCTTGTGATGGTCCCAACTCTCGAAGAACGCGTGGTAAAGCACGTGGCATAGACTCTGATGAGGTCAGAATAATGGGAAAGGTTTTAGGCAACAATGTAAGCATACCACTAGCTTACCTATATGTCTGGCTTTCCTATGATGGCAGTACAAATCAGCTAAGAAGTTGTGCATTTTGTTTCAGGTACATGTAGAAGCGTGCTTGGCAGCCTTAAATGCTGCTGATTGGGATGTTCATAGAGCCATCAAATTAGTTCGACTTCAGACTTTATTGCAGTCATCGCTGGACTTAGCTGACTGTGGACAAGCATTGGATAGCTGTGGATGGGATGTAGCAAGAGCTGCAAGTTGGCTACTTGCTAATTCTGATGTAGGAGAAACAACTCATGTTTAACCATTTTGATATTTTTTGAATGCCTGTAGTGAACAGTTTTGAAACTTAATCACAATTTCATTTATTACTGCTTATTAATTTTCTTCAGCCCAGAAACAGCACTGTGGTCAACTGTGATGGTCATGACAGATGCTGCTATACAAACCTGTAACTCTCTCCGGTGATACAGTTTTAAAATGATGCTCATCCCAAATAAGCCAGATTTGTATGAAATTTATTTTGTGCCAATGTTTCATTATTGTATTTTATCATGTTGCATTTATATTTATTTAGTCACTATTTAGTTTTAACCATGTTGTCTTCTTGTTTTCTTTTATAATTTTGTGTGATAAAAGCAATAATCTTGAAAAAGTATTAATGATTTCAATGTGAAGATATTCTAAAGATGTTGCTAGTGATATCATGGAAAGATCAACCAAAGTTACCTATTTTAATTAATTTCTTGTAATTGGGCATGCGGTCCCCAGTTCTGCTTTTGTACTCACGTTAGTTTTGTAACACACTGAGGTTACAGGGTTTTCTTAATTCTGCTGCTTCATTTAACCTGCAGACTAATCAAATTTCTTTATCGGTAAAGCAGCTTTTAATGAAATAATTTGGAAGTACCATACCATACCATATCATTTCATATGTATCAACTTATTACGTAATAATTCACTAATATCACACTTCGCTTTCTAAGACTTATTATAATCACAATTTCTTTATACTGTCTACCTGATAATCTGCCATGGTAATGACAATAAGACAGATGAACAGTATTTGATTATCTTAAACAAACAGACTTAATTTGTATCATGAGGATGGATCGAGGGATGGATATACTTTAACAGACTGATTTTGCATTTCATAAAATTTGAGGGTTGTAAAGATTTTTGACAATTACTGGAATTGTTGTAAAGAATCTTGATTTCATCTACACTGTCTACTCATCTATATTTTGTAAACATTTTTTTTTCTTTACATCAAAATTTGCTATTACTCAAAGTAATAATTAAAGGACTGCTTTAAGACTTCCATTTTGTATTTTCATAAAAAATTAGTCTGGTTTATTAAACAGTCTAGGTTGTGTAAGTATCGTTCTCATTTTCACTATCATTCTCATTACAATGTCTCCTTGTCGCCTTTGATCCTTATCTGCATTGTTGTGCTTGTGCTTAATCTTCTATGTACTACTACTATCTAATGCTTTTCATCACAAGTTAAATTTTCTTCAACTCGTGTTGCATTTTTTGTGTGTGTGAGACTTATTTTATGTCTGCAGAATTTCTCTGTGGACAAGTATTTTTTTTCTTTAACTACTATTTCATTGCTTAATATCAGAATGTGTGTTATTTGACTGATTAAGTCTGGACTTTGTACAACCCCTCAATGTTATTGTTATATTCATACACATATGTATATTGATGCATGCAAAATGGAGTGAGCGAGTTGAGGGCACAAATTCTGGTGATGTCCCTTTATTTTTTACTCTCAAGTTTCCTTCTTTAAAATCTTAACAATGTTGCCATGTTTGGCAGCTTAATATTATTGCTACTACTCTCGCTACTTCTACCCTAAAAATGTATTGGATTGCCATTTTAAGATATATTTTGAATGAATAATACTCATTGGCTTGTTTTTTTTGGCTAAGGGCATATTATTCAACTTCTATAACTCATTATAATAATTTTATGTCCAAAACCATCATTATGTGATCTGACATCAATTGGAAAGCTGTGCACTTTAATTAATAAAATGTCGTTTTAAAACTTTTGAAAGAGATCTGATTCTACTCGTTGCTCTCCTGGGTATCCGTGCCAGAAACCAGTTGAAAACAATACAGTTTGGGTTTTTGGGAAAGGTGGTGATGATGTTCATTTTCTGTAATGATTTATTATATGGAAAATGCGCTCATAT